CCCCTTCGGGAAATCCTCAATGTTGCGAGTTAAGCTCTTGATGAAACCCCCTAGCAATGCGCAGGAGATGTGGGCTAATGTCGAGAACCATATAAAGTGAGAACACACACTCAAGAGGTCTCAAGAATCCTTCGCCTCGGTAGGCCCCAAAGAAAAGTCAAGAATCCCCCAGGAAGGCAGACCGGCACTGCCCAAGATGGATAGACAATTAACGCCCTTACCCAAGCTCCGACGAGAAATCCTCCAGATCCATAGGGACGAATTGCCAGCTCTGAAACCCTTGGCCCCTAATCCAAACAGATCAACCGAACAATACTGTGAATATCACAAAGATCCGGGGTCAAATTTGGGAAGTTTCAGCAATATGTGCAGAGAACAGCTTCCCGACAGAAGAATAACAGACCCCAGTCACGAGATCACCTAAAAAGAAATTTTAGAGGACCGCCGCGGCGGGATGGACGAGGAAATAATTGGCAACCGAGAGTCAATGCCCAACAACAGCAGCATTATCCCATCGCTGAAGCAACGCCACAACCATTGCAACAACTCCCCCCGACGGATCCAACAAAGCTAATCACTAACCAGGTGGGAGCTATTTACGGAGCTCCCCTCGAAGTCTTATCCACGACAGCCATGAAAAACTCATTGCAAACTGTCACCAAAACCCCTCGACAAGAACCTAGCCACAAGAGATTCAAAGGAACAGAGGCCATTGTATTCACAAATAGCGATGTGGTCCCAGACATTTGTCCCCACAGTGACGCTATGGTCATAGAAGCAGTAATCGCAAACGTAAAGTCGGGAGGGTTTATGTGGACAACGGCAGCGCGGTCGATATCATATATACTGATTGCTTCGAGAAAATGAATATCAAAAACCCTTGGATCCGCCCAACTACAATGCCACTAATGGGATTCTCAGGACACACCATTATCCCCACAGGAATAATTAGCCTACCCATCTCAATAGGGTCGCATCCTAGGACAGTCACTTTGACCATGGATTTCGCCCTAATAGATGCACCCTCGCCGTTCAATGTGATCCTAGGGCGACCTTGGATGTGTCAAGCACGCGCGGTATGGTCTCCCTATCACTTGGTAATGAAATTCCCAACGAAATATGGAGTAGGAGTAGTGAAAAGATGCCAGCGGAGTTCTCGAGAATGCTTGCTCACTGCAGTTAGAATCAGAAAGAAGACCGCATACCTTAACCCAGGGTCCGCCGTGTCAGAGTGCTACTCAATTAGACAAACGGTCAACCCACCAGGGGTAGAAGACCACGAGACACCTGACCTTCCCTCGTTCAGTAGCAAGACGCGAAAATTAGTCCTGAACGAGCCTGATCCCGCCAAGACCGTCCAGATTGGGATTTCTCTCCAAGACCCCTTGCTAGCCGAGATCAGCGCCTTGCTACGAGAGTTCCAGTACATATTCGCCTGGTCCCCAGCGGATATGACAGGAGTCCCTTGAGAAGTGATAGAACATACGTTAAATGTTGATCCAAATGTCAAACCAGTACAACAGAAGAAAAGAGTATTTGCTCGAGAATGTAACACTGTCATCAACGAGAAAACGATGAAGCTAGTCCGAGCTAACATCCAAATTAGTCCGAGCTAACACTGTCATCAATCCGGTCTTAGTACAAAAACCCGACAACTCCTGGCGTATGTGCCAAGACTACACAGACCTTAATAAACATTGCCCCAAGGACTGCTACCCTCTACCAGTCATAGATCAAATGGTGGAGGGTATTGCCGGGTACAGAGTCCTCAGCTTCCTTGACGCCTACAAGGGATATCATCAAATCCTCATGGCACAGGAAGATGCAGAAAGGATAGCTTACATCACTGAGATAGGGGTATATTGCTACGACAAGATGCCCTTTGGACTGAAAAATGCTGGAGCCACATACCAGCGTCTCGTGAACAGAACCTTCCATGACCAGATTGGCCGGAACATCGAGATTTATGTAGACGACATGGTGATAAAGACCAATAAGGATGACCAATAAGGATTTACGTAGACGACATGGTGATAAAGACCAATATTACGCAAGGTTAACATGAAGCTGAACCCTAAAAAATGCACCTTCTGTGTAGGATCAGGGAAATTCCTAGGATACCAAGTCTCCAAGGCTGGAATAAGTGTTGATCCGGCTAAAATCAAGGCTATCTTAGCCATGGAAGCTCCAAAAACCGTCAAGGAAGTTCAGAAACTCACAGGCTTCCTGGCGGCCCTAAACAGGTTTCTATCTCGAGCCGCAGAAAGAAGCCTCCCAGTTTTCCATACCCTCCGCAAAGGCAGAAAATTCGAGTGGAATGAAGAATGCCAGAAAGCCTTCCAAGACTAAAAGAGCACCTCAAGCAGTTGCCCACATTAGCCAAGCCCGAGCCAGGAGAAACACTGTACATTTACCTGGCAGCCCGAGAGAAAGCTGTCTCGGTGGTCCTCGTGCAGCGTAATGACGGCAGAGAAGTCTCCGTCTATTTTGTTAGCAAAGTCTTCCAAGGGGCAGAAACCCATTACACACCCATGGAAAGGCTTATCCTCAGCCCAGTCTTGGCCGCACGACGTCTGCGCCCATACTTCCAAGCACACCCCATCATGGTTTTAACGGAACAACCAATTCAGCAAGTCCTGCTAAAGCCAAAAGCGTCCGGCAGGATGATGAAATGACCAATCGAATTGGGCGAGCACCACATCGAATACAAGCCTCGATCAGCCATCAAAGGGCAAGCCTTTGCAGATTTCTTAGTAGAAACGCCTCGAGCTATAGAAGTCAAAGAAATGGCGGAGCCTAAAAATGATCTCACTACTCGCGTCCACATCAACCCTTGAGCCTGGTCACTATATGTCGACGGATCTCGTTGCGATGAAGGGGGAGGAGCCGGCATCATATTATCCAAACCTCCGGCCGATCCCGACATCGAGAACATGAAAGAGTACGATGCAGAATATACATATGCGCTCAGATTCAGTTTCTCGGTCACCAACAATGTAGCAGAATACGAGGCACTGATAGTAGGGTTGAATATGGCACTAAAATTTGGGGTCCGCAAAATACAATTTTTTAGTGATTCTCAAGTAATGGTGAAACAAATATTGGGAGAATACACGGCAAACGACGAGCAACTCAAGCGCTACCTCAAGAAAGTCCTCGACATCAAGGTCAAATTCGAGGAATGCACCGTGTGCCACAAAGCCCGCTCAAAAAACAAAAGAGCCGACGCCCTCAGCAAGCTGGCCTCCTCGAACTTTGCGCACCTTAGCCACAAAGTATGGGTCAAAATTCTCCCCAATCCCAGTATCCAGGACGTCCCCGTAGCGACCATCGTCGAGGACAGTGACACTTGGATGACCCCTTTTATCCAATACCTTACAGATGGGACGTTGCCGAGTAGAAAAGCAGAAGCCAGGATCCTCCAGTTAAAGGTGGTCAAATACACATTGCGAGACGGCATCCTATACAACCATGGATACCTGCTACCCATGCTAAGGTGTATTGGCCCAAAGCAAGCAGCTTACGTACTCGAAGAAGTACACGAAGGATCATGTGGAGCTCATATGGGAGCAAGAGCACTCGCCAAGAAGGTCTTGCTAGCAGGATATTTCTGTCCGACAATCTTCAAAGACGCCTACCAATGGGTACAAAAATGTGAGAAGTGTCGCTTCTCTCCCATCACCCGACAGCCACAGCACGAGATTGTCACCATCCAAAGCCCGTGGCCATTCTACGAATGGGGCACTGATATCATCGGCCCCTTTCATCCGGAAGGAGTAGGAGGACTAAGATGGGTCATTATAGCAGTAGGTTACTTCACTAAATGGGTAGAAGCCAAACCCTTGGCCTCGATCACTGGGAGAAAAATCTTGGATTTTCTCTGGCAGAATATAGTATGCCCCTTTGAGGTCCCAAAAGTTATCGCCTCCGATAATAGGACCCCGTTCGAGAGCAATACTTTTAGGTCATGGTGCGGTGAAATGCAGATCGAACGCCGCTTCTCGAGCGTAGCCCATCCCCAAGCCAACGGGCAGGCCAAATCCATCAACAGAACAATACTGCATGGAATCAAGACCAGGTTGTATGACGCCAAGGGGGCATGGGCGGACGAACTTCCTCACGTACTGTGGTCATACCGAACAACTGCCCACTCCTCGACCGACGAGACACTGTACAGCTTAATCTACAGTATGGACGCCGTCCTCCCAGTCGAGATCGGTCACTCGAGTCCTCGAACCGCAAACTTCATCGAGAGTACCAATGATGATGACATCTGGCTAAACCTTGACCTGCTCGAGGAACGTCGAGATGCCGTCAGAATCCGAGCGGCCAAATATAAAGAGACTCTTCGCAGACATTACAACAAGAAGGTGAAAGTCACGGATCTCGCTGTGGGTTACCTTGTGCTAAGAAAAAACGAGGCCAGTCGAGCAGAAGCCCCTGGAAAACTTACTGCAAATTGGGAAGGGCCTTACAAGGTCACCCAGACTTCCCCAGCAGGCTGCTACCGCCTACAAGCCATGGATGATAGCGGAACCATCCTTCCTCGATGGTGGAACATTCAGAATCTTCGCAGGTTCTATGTTTAAGCCTTTCTCCGCTATTTGCCCTTTATGTGTTTTACTTACTTTATTTACCCAGTCACTTTTATACTCTCATATGTAATGCTAACCCGGGTCCTCGGGAAATTATTCAATAAAAGACATTACATATTCTCCCCGTTTATAGCAATGCATTCATGACTAGTCATCAAGATGGACTCCCTCTTTAGGGCCATCTTCGTTCAAGAGCCGTGTACTCAACATCCGGACACGAACTTGAGGAACTTTCTTCACGCACATTGCGAAACGCAGTGTCAAGTCAAGGAATTCGTACCCAATTCCTATGATAGAGCCGTGTACTCTATATCCGGCCTAAAAAGCGCTTTAAAAATCAATACTCGAGTAAAATAAACATTTGTTCCACATTACTGTGCGAACTCATAGAAAAGTACATACTTTCTACACTATTACAAGCACCTCCCTGACAGGATTGTCGGGGGAGGGATAAAAAATCCCCTTATACCCGTGCAGGCTAAGGAGATTCACACACTGATTCAATTTGTCCTTAAGGTCCACGATCTCTGTGTCCTGAGCGTGCACCCCCATCAACAGTTCCTCTCGAGAACTCCGAGTTCGAGGATCCACTGTCTCCTCCGGACGCTCGAAAGCCTCGAAGTCGATGTTGTTATCCAGCAGAAGATTTTGCAGTTGAGCAACATAATCTCTAAGAAGCTCGATTTCACGAGACCTCTCTTTAAATATATCCATGGTTGCGATGAAACGACGAGTCCTGACCATAATCATGTACTGGACTCGGGCTAACACCTGATACTTCTCGAGAAACCAGGGAGACACAGTAATCTGCTGCCTCGCCCTAAGCCGAGCATTTTCCTTCTCCATGGTCACCAGCTCGTCATGGATCTCGGCCTCGAAAGTCAAAGAATCACTGTGGTCTCTCAGGCTTTGAACCTCTCGACGCTGCATCTCCTCACGGAGTCCTTTGATCTCATTTATCAGATGCTGGTTAACCTTCACGTTGTGTGTCCTCATGGCATCGAGCAGGTCATTCTCCAAATGCGCCACCGTCTCGAGGCTGTGCACGTCAGCACGACTTGTCAGAATCCCACTTATCATGGAATATAATGGGAACTCCCTCGATTTCTCCTCTGACAACACCATGTAGTACACGCGGTGAACGGTCTAACTTTCCTGTTTCACCAGAGCAGCATAAGGCACTCACATCAAAACAAATAGAAAAAACACAGAGGACAAAGAAGTGGAATGGAAAGAAATGTTTGCATAAATCTGTGAAAAAAGAAAATTAGTTCATTACAGCAAAAAGAAAAAGTTTAAATGGCCTAATAACTATTACAGAAGGCAGGATTCATACAGCGTCACTGCCTGGAAGGGGATCAGCGGAAGGATCATTGGAAGGGTCCTTGGAAGGGGCCTGAGAGGCATCCTCAATAGTTCTCTGAACCCCGGAGTGGCCGGCGTCAGCAACATCCTCCTCGGTTTCCTCATCAGCATCCTTGAGCTCGATACCCGTATACTTGTCAGGTACCTCGGGTATGGGGTCTTCCTCACTCGGACCCTTGGCCAGGATAGCAGGAACGTCGCTCGGAAACGAGGCAATCTCCGCAGGGGAACTCATCTTGGACATGGCACCGGTTAAAGCTCCCCACAGAGGAAGCTGCTCGAGGCTCAACCTTGTCAAGACCTTCACCATGGCCTCGTGCATGGTTTTCTTTGGGTCCTTCATCAAGAGTTTCTTGAACCATTTGGCCTTAATTGGCCTATCCTGGTCGAGCCTCCTTAACCCTGCCACGCCCACTCGGTACGCACCGCACTTGGTGGCAACCAAGTTCACCTCCTCGAGGGCTGTAGCCATTCCTCCTGTGGACATCATCTTATACATAAAGGCGGTACACCACTGGTGAAGCTCCTCCTTGGAAATATGCAGGCTGGGAAACGACTTCATCTTCTCGCCAAGCTCATCATATTTGGCCTGCATCTCGACAATCTCTGCTTCCTTGGCCTGAACTTGGCAAACCTTCTCCTCGAGGGTAACCACCTCGAACAATGCCTCGTCCCTTTCTGCCCTTGTTGCAGCCAGGTCTTCTCGAAGTTTCCTCAGCTGCACTAAGTAGGCCATCGAGGCTGCGCTCATCTTAACCAACATAACATATTAGAGACACGTGGACCTCAACAACACATTTACAACATAATCTGAAAAATTGCTTACTAGCCGCAAGCTGTCAGCTTCATTCAGTTGGGCGGCGAATTCCTCGAGAATAGGACACTCGATTGACGGCAGGTTGCTGATGGTGTGAACTGCCACAGATGGGCCTCCCTCGAACAGTTGGGGAGGCAAGACTATGGCCTCTCCCTCGAGAGCGCCCTTTCCTTTCTCTACCCCAGGCGGAACTCTGCTTGGCCTTGTCTCCGGTGCGGTTTTCTGCATGGACTCGGTAGCAATGGGCACCGTCTCGACGCTCGGTGGAGCAGTTTCCTTTAGGGGCACATCCGTCTTGGCCTTCTTAGATTTTACCCTATCACCAACTTTCACAATCCTTTCCTTCTTCTTCTTCTGATTGGCGGCAGTAACAGTAACATCCTCGTCTGAATTTACAATGACAAAAGGATCTTCGTCACCAAACAATCGAGACCCAGGATTGCTTGACGACATGACCTAACAACAAAGAAAAAAAAAGAAGAAACGATTAGTACCTTGATCTTCTTCATCAGAGATTTCGATGGGAATTCTGGTTGCTCCCTCGACAATGACTGTATCACATTCCTTCGCGTATGCAGGGTGCACATAGTATTGGATGTCGTTCCACTTAACGACCTTCGAGTATTTTAAAATCTTCTCTACATCTGCCTGGAACTCCTCGACACACTCCTCGTACTCTTGGGTCCATTCATCTTTTATGGCCCCGAGGCCCTCTGTCTCACGGAGATTCCATGGCAGACAATAACTTACAGGCGCCTTTACAAACAAAAAGTCCGGTTTCCATTCTGGAGAACCGCCATACGCCTCGACCATCTTCTTCACACCGGCTCTAAGGCGTCTCTTTACTATATACCAATCCTGAAAAGAAGTCGAGGCCACAACTACTTGGAAAAAGTACCTCCACAATGTAATTAAATTTGGGGTAAAACGAGCGAGAGGAGTCCTATAATGTTGAACAATCTCCTCAAACAAGGGGCAAAGGGAAAATCTAAGCCCTAGATGCATAAATCAATCATACACGGTAATTCTTCCCCTTGGGGGAGAATTGGTCCTCTCGTTCCCTAACGGAGCTCTGGTCTCTAAGGTGGAGGGAAAGTCATACTTGGATCTAAGGTTTTCTACCTTATCCACCGAGTCTATGGTGGAAACAAAGTCTAGAATAGTTTTTCCTTCGAAATTCCTAACCATAATTCCGACAAAGATCTACTCTGGCTACAACAGGAAAGGAAATGGAACAAGTCGGAGATTCAAATCCAGAAACTTACTATGTAAGGGGGACGTGACCACTCGCCCTTCGAATTATAGCTCCCCAGTGTTGTCTAGAAGCTTCAAATTGCAACTCCCCTAGAAACGCCGTCGCCAGGGCAGATAAAATCTTGGAAATTCCGGCCGGAATTTTCAAGGGTGCTTTGGAAAAATAGAACGGAATGAAGGCTGGAGTACTTTTTACAAAGAAGAGGATTTTGTGTTTTGCAGAGAAAGAAAGTGATTAATTGTCCAGGGACTGTGGAAGTTTTTTTCTTTTAAAAGCAAAGTTGATTCTCCCACGTTTCCCTAATTATGGACCACGATCTGGCAGTTATTGCGGGTTTTAAGGAAGTAATGATGTTGAGGCCGCCGTTTGGGGACCGTGCCCACTAATAACGCACAATTGAAAATTTGAGCGGGATTGGGAAGCGGGTCGTCTTCCCGGGTCGCGACTTGACCCGCCGGTTCCTCTCGCACTTTCGAGATCGAGGGTCGTGTGTTAGCACCGACCTCGTTAGGCTTATGCCTCGGCAATTAGCTGAACGAGGGCAGTCTGTCCACTCTTGGGCATGTCTCCGGTAATGCTTATTTTGTGCCAAGCGTTGTTTTGCTCTACGTCACTAACACTTGGCAGGGGCAATTGACGAGTCCAGATCCATTACCGAGATTGTACCGGTCCACCCACCGTAGGAAGAGTCCAAGTGGAACTCTTAGGGCGGTGTAAATCTAAAACCTAGTGGGATTCGGAATTGTCCAGGTAATCTCATACCTATAAATAGGGTAGCTCATACCACAATTCAGGTACACAATCTATAAGCCAAACATACTACCTCCCTAAACTTTCTAGCAATCCCGTTTACTGACTTAAGCATCGGAGTGCCTACCCTCGAGAGACCCTGAGGCTCTCTTTTGCAGGAAACCCTTACCGGAGTTCCACCGTTAAACCGGCGGCGCATATCCGTGCATCGTCACATAGAAACCACATACCCTTCGTGGCCAGAAATGAAATAAGCTTCGGCTCACCATCAATACTCTGTCGGTACAAAAAGTGGGCACCAGTCTGCCTCCGCAAATAGAGACGGCGGAAATTGGGTTCGGAGATAATCGCAAACCACCTCTTAGACACGAACCGGAAATGAATTAAGGATTCCCCGGTAAACGAACCAAGATTTGTGTCGGGAGAACTTCGTTCCCAGCTATAATCTCTGCCGCCGATTCTATGGATGAATCAAAATCTCCCTCGTTGATGGGTCGGGTTTGTAGGGTTCGATTGGAAGGGGAAATCGGTTGATGTGTGTGCCGACTAGGGTTCGGCCATCTCCGGAAACTTCGACTCTTTGGGAGGATGCTTCGATTCTTACTAGTCCGCGAATTTAAAGACCGAAAAAAAATTACTTAAATTAAGATTCTGAAACGTATTGCCAAACTCTGCCATTCAAATTTTGTTGAATGTATTTAAAGTCCTCAAAGTTGAATAAACCCTTTTTGTTATCCGGTGGATCTTGTAAAATGTATCAAACTTTTAAGGTTAATCTTAGTGGTATAGTATGCCACTCTTCGTCCTCCTTGAATAAAAAACTTACTAACACAAAGCATCATCATCATTAGTTAAATATTATTGTCACGAGAATTTTGAAGTTCACTCAACTATTTGGCAGTTCTATCATTGTTGATTTAATTAGATAATGATAAATATATTTCTTCAAAACCAGCTCTCTTGTTTTTTTAATACTTCCTTTGTAAAAGATAATGGTTATGAATCTCTTTAAAGATATATTTTTATTTTAGAGTGATGAATAAGAGGAACTGGTTAAGATTGCAATCAAAATCTTCAAACTGGAGTCCGAGTGTTTAGTGCCACTTTTATGTGACACTAGTTAAACGAATACATGTGTTTTTATTATTAATGCTAGCACTCTAACCAAATGGTAAGTGAACCTATTTGGAGAAGTGATGAAACACGTGTCAATCATCTAAATAGTGTCGCACATAGTATAACGCAAAAGTGTTACGAAAAATCTTTTGCCTTCAAATAGTAATTGGTAAGGCTAACGGTAAAATGTATTATTTCCGTTCTTAAAAAATAATGCCCTTTAAGTTATTGTTTTAGTTTGACAAAGTAAATTATCTTTATACGAATTATGAGACCAATTGTGTAATTTCACGAACCTTAGGGACCTCTATGAAAGAATTTATTCGTTTGGAAATGTCATGAACCCTAGTCCCTCTATCCCTCGGACACACAGACTCACAGTGCAGTTTAAAGAAACCATTAAACCAAGAAACCAAGTTGGGAACTGCGCAACTGACTACAAAATCAATTGGACTAAGGAAGGAAGAGGTATGCAAAAAGAAAAGAAACCAAAACAAGTGTGAATTAGTCATTCAAGAGAAACAGAGATAACAGGGGAATTAAAGATCTCAATCTTCAAACCAACAAAAACTGCTACGCCTACTAACCATTAATAATGCTTTCTTTCCGAAAACTTAAATTCAGACAAATTCATCTTCCTCATGCTCCTACTTTTCAAGGTTATGTATGAATAATTTAACAGAAAGGGGACAGTTAAAATAAGGCAAGAAACCAAGAACTTTGGAACTACATGAGTACTTGACAATGAAATTAATCGAACTGCGGTAGGAAGAAGGATGCAGCAAATGAAAGAAACCATTGGAACAAAGATTAACAGGGAACTAATAATAGTAATAACACAAAAAAACCTTGGAAATCAGTCAATAGATTCTGCCCCAAAATAAACAATTCCAAACAGATTAATCTTCCTAATCCATCTACCATGATCGGATGATCCTACATAACTATATCATCCAAGATAATTGTTTCATCATCGGAATTTATGGTCGAGGTTTTCGGCTAATAATCTCCATCCGAAGACACAAAACCATTTTGTTGTCGTTGTTATTGTTGTTCTTGCCATCAAAATCATAATCTCTCCGAGGGCGACGCCCTTGGCAAGTGAGCCTGATGACATCACCTTTGCCAAGCTTATTCGTCTGGACGCACTCATTCCATCCTTTATTCAACACAAGCTTATCTACGCTCGACCAGTACGTCAACTTCAGTTTAAAACTCCTCCCTTCGTCGTCCTGCACTTCGACTTCCATCCCGGCTTCTTCGTCGCCTTCTTTCTCTTTTCTCATTCTCAGATGATGATGACGACGAAGACGGCGCCAAAGACAGGAACGAAGAAGGTGTCGACGAAGATGCTGGTGCTGTTTGTTTCTCTTGATCCAGGGCTAGGGCTTTCAGGGTATTCCTTTCTTCCCGGGTCAAGAAATTATCGGGTATAAACAGCCGGCTTTGACCCGCTGAAATATCCGATACTTCTAGTTCTTTCTGGAACTTGACTTTATCGGGATGCTGATCACCGACAGGTAACGTTACCAGCACGTCAATATTCGACCCGAACAAACGGATTGTCTTCATCACGGATGCCGACATTCTTTCTTGTTTTGATGACTCGAAAGAAGAAATTAACAATGGAAGAGAAAATCTTGGGGGACTGCCTTATGTAACAATGACGAGAGAATTGAGGATGAACGATGAAGAATAAGGCTCCATGGGCGAGTTTTATTTATAGGGAGATTGAATTTCCTAAAAAACTTTGTCTTTTTCCTCTTCACTATGGAATTTTAGACCGTTCGGGATTCGGATTAGGAAATTCCCGCCTTTTCCTACACCGGTTCGGTTAACCGGCAAAACAAGGCCTTTCCACTCGAATAAATCAATAAACCAATAAAAAAATTGCCAGAAGACCCATCATTTTGACCAACTTTGACTTCATGGAAATTTTTTTGAATGCATTCCGAGTGATCAAATAATTATTGAAATACAGACGGACGTATTGTTATTAATTAATACCTGCCTTTTCTACTTCAATTTTTCGGAGCATTTGCTTTACTTGCGCTGGTACCACTAGTCTAACACCACCACCACCACCACCACTATTATTATTATTATTATTATTATTATTATTATGTTTTTTAGTTATGTAGGGGGGCAAGGCCATGGCCTTGGCCATGATTCAAATTTAGGGGAGATTGATGTACGTACCTGGCATGTTTTCTAATTTGTAAGTAATAAGGGGTATAATCTTTTAGAAGATTTGGAAGTTTTCTTGATTTAGCTTAAAAATTTTGCAAAAATGAGTTCCCCATAATGCATAGAAAATATTAAAGAAAAACCATGAGGATCATACACCTATTTTTTGTGTAAAAACCCAATCTCTCGATAATTTCTCCGAAACAAATAGGTTTAGCAATAGCTTTCGAGTGGTTGCACCACATTAGTTTGTGTAGTCACACACTTTGGGGAAGGTTTTTCTGTTTTAAAATGATTGTCATTTTTAACTATAATATAATATTATTATTGTTGTTATTATTATTATTATACATATATATATATATATATGTGTCTATATATATAACGGGAGTTTCTCCCTTCTCACATGTGAGTTTTTGGTAGTATCTTTTCACGCATGTGAAAGTTATTTATGTAATTTAAACATTCATCATTTCAGTTTTAATTTTGTTTCCTTCTTTTTTTT